CCCAGTGAAAATGCCCTCTAGATCACCCAGATCAAAAGGAGAAGGTATCAAGTACGCAAAAATGCAGCTCAAAACACCTTGCTCAACCACACCCCCACGGGAAACAGCAGTGATAAATCTTTAGTAATAAATGAAAGTTTAAGCTATACTAATATTTAGAGTTGGTCAATTTCGTGCCAGCCACTGTGGCCATGCGATTAACCCAAGCTAATAAAACTTGGTGTAAAGATGTGTAAGGTCTGCCCTCAATAAAACTAAATTCCATCTAAGAGGAGGTGACACTTAGAGGTATCACTGCTACCTCATCTGTATTTTCAGAGAAGCCACCTCAATCTACTATTAAAATTTAGCTGCAGGTATAAAAATAGACCCATAGGTCAATGGAACAGAATAGGGAACCCAGAAATAAAGCCACACACCTAACAACCAGCTGATCTTTGACAAAGTCATCAAAAATATATACTGGGAAAATGACAACCTATTCAACAAATGGTGCTGGAAAAATTGGATAGCCACATGCAGAAGAATGAAACTGGACCCATACCTCTCACCATAGAAAAAGATGAACTTGGATCAGGAGTGATAGCTCATGGCCATAACCTTAGCACTTTGAGAGACCAAGAAGGGAGGTTCACTTGAGCCCAGGAGTTTAAGACCAGCCTGGGCAACATGGCAATATAGCAAGACCCTGTCTCGAAAAAAGTTTTCTTAAAAAATTAGTTAAGTGTAAGCCAAAAGAACAAAGCTGGAGGCATCATGCTACCTGACTTCAAACTATACTACAAGGCTATAGTAACTAAAACAGCATGGTACTGGTATCAAAACAGAGATATAGACCGATGGAACAGAACAGAGCCCTCAGAAATAATACCACACATCTACAATTGTCTGATCTTTGACAAACCTGACAAAAACAAGAAATGGGGAAAGGATTCCCTATTTAATAAATGGTGCTGGGAAAACTGGCTAGCCATATGTAGAAAGATGAAACTGGATCCCTTCCTTACACCTTATACAAAAATTAATTCAAGAAGGATTAGAGACGTAAATGTTAGACCTAAAACCATAAAAACCCTAGAAGAAAACCTAGGCAATACCATTCAGGACATAGGCATGGGCAAGGACTTCATGACTAAAACACCAAAAGCAAGGCAACAGAAACCAAAATGACAAATGGAATCTAATTAAACTAAAGAGCTTCTGCACAGCAAAAGAAACTACCATTCAAGTGAACAGGCAACCTACAGAATGGGAGAAAATGTTTACAATCTACCCATCTGACAAAGGGCTAATATCTAGAATCTACAAAGAACTTAAACAAATTTACAAGAAAAAAATCAAACAACCCCATCAAAAAGTAGGCAAAGGATATGAACAGACACTTCTCAAAAGAAGACATTTATGTAGCCAACAGATACATGAAAAAATGCTCATCATCACTGGCCATCAGAGAAAGGCAAATCAAAACCACAATGAGATACTATCTCACACCAGTTAGAATGACGATCATAACAGATGCTGGAGAGGATGTGGAGAAATAGGAACACTTTTACACTGTTGGTAGGACAGTAAACTAGTTCAACCATTGTGGAAAACAGTGTGGCGATTCCTCAAGGATTTAGAACTAGAAATACTGTTTGACTCAGCCATCCAATTACTGGGTATATACCCAAAGCATTATAAATGATGCTGCTATAAAGACACATTATAAATCATGCTGCTATAAAGACACATGCACACATATGTTTATTGTGGCACTATTCACAATAGCAAAGACTTGGAACCAACCCAAATGTCCATCAATGATAGACTGGATTAAGAAAATGTGGCACATATACACCATGGAATACTATGGAGCCATAAAAAAGGATTGAGTTCATGTCCTTTGTAGGGACATGGATGAAGCTAGAAACCATCATTCTGAGCAAACTATCGCAAGGAGAGAAAACCAAACACCGCATGTTCTCACTCATAGGTGGGAATTGAACAATGAGAACACTTGGACACAGGGTGGGGAACATTACACACCGGGGCATGTCATGGGGAGTGGGAAGCGAGGAGGGATAGCATCAGAAGATATACCTAATGTAAATGACGAGTTAATGGGTGCAGCACACCGACATGGCACATGTATACATATGTAACAAACTTGCACATTATGCACATGTACCCTAGAACTTAAAGTATATATATATATATAAAAAAATTAGTTGAGTGTGATGGTGCATGCCTGGAGTCCCAGTTACTTAGGAGATGGAGGCGGGAGGATTGCTTGAATCTAGGTTGAGGCTGCAGTGAGCCATGTTCATGCCACTGCACTCCAGCCTGGGTAATGGAGCAAGATGCCATCTCCAAAATAATGATAATAATAATAATTATAATAAGATAAAGACCTAAACATAAGACATGAAACCATAAAAATCCTAGAAGAAAACCCAGGAAATAGTCTTCTGGACATTGCCCAAGGCAAAGAATTTTTGAGCAAGTCCTCAAAAGCAAATGCAACAAAACCAAAAATAGACAAATGGGATTTAATTAAATTAAAAAGCTTCTGCACAGCAAAAAGAAACAGTCAAGAAAGCAGACAACTACAGTATGGGAAAAATATTTGTAAACTATGGATCCAACCAAGGGCTAATATTCAGAATCCATAAGAAATTCAAACAACTCAAGACAAAAAAAAAAAAAAAAAAACCTTTAACAAGTGGGCAAAGGACATCAACAGGCATTTTCAAAAGAAGTCATAGACAGATATGGCCAGGAAACATACGGAAAAATGTTCAACATCACTAATCACCAGAGACATGTGAATTGAAACCACAATGAGGTATCATCTTATACCAGTCAGAATGATTATTATTAAAAAGTCTAAAAGCAACAGAAGTTGGTGAGGATGTGGAGAAAAGGGAATGATTATACACTGTTGATGGGAATGTAAATTAGTACAACCTTTATAGAAAACAGTATGGCAATTTCTCAAAAGCTTGGAATAGACCTACCATTTAAACCAGCAATCCCACAACTGGGTGTATACCCCAAAGGAAAGAAATCAATATATCAAAAAGACACCTGCATTGTATATTTATTGCAGCATTATTCACAGTAGCAAAATCATGGAATCAATCCAAGTACCCATCAACAAAGGTTAGGTAAAGAAAAGGTTATATACAAACACACACACACACACACACACAATATATATGTATGTATGCATATAATATGTATACATATTATATATATTATATATAGTATGTATATATATGCACCATGGCATACTATTCAGTCATAAAAAGAATAAAATAATGTATATATATTTTATATATACATATATGTATATTATATATACATATTATATATATATTATGTATACATATATATGCACCATGGCATACTATTCAGCCACAAAAAGAATAAAATAATGTATTTTGCAGCAACATGGATGGAACTGGAGGCCATTATCCTAAGTGAAAGGACTCAGAAACAGGAAGTCAAATATCGCATATTCTTACTTATGAGTGGAAGGTAATTAATGGGTATACATGAACATACAGACTGAAATAATAGATATTGGAGACTATGAAAGGTGAGAGGGTGGGAATTCGGTGAGGGGTTAAAAATTACCTATTTCATAAAGCTTATAATCTTTAATCCTTACAACATACAAGATAGGTATTCCTATCTTATAGATGAGGAAACCAAGACTCAGGTGTTATTTGATCTAAAGTCACATAGTTAATAAATGTGAAACCTGGATTTGAACCTGGGTCCAGGTGCCTCTCAAGTTTTTGCTTTTACTCCCTTCTCGGTCTTGCTTCAGAAGCAGAGAATTTAGGATCTGCTAAATCTGAGAGTTCTTGGGTAAACACTAATTGTAAGCACTTAAATTGGGTAAACACTTAAATTGTAGCCTGATAACAATTTCAGGTTGTGAGCAAGGAGAAAGGGGTCACTCCCTCCCTCCCCTGGGACAAATTTAAGTCGTATGTGCATATGTGTGAAGGTGAAAGACGGTTTACTCGGGAGACTCAGATGTGGTGAGGAACTGGGGGCCTAGGATAGCTTTGCTGGAGAAACAGGAGGGGCTTCTAGGAGTGAACATAACATGCTAATGTTACAACAGCAGTCACAGGAACAGGGTGCCCAGTGGAAAGGAAGAACTCCATCTTGCCAGGCTGTCCTAGAGAAAAAACACCCTGAAACTATAATGCAGCAAAGGGGAATGATAGGATGGCAACAATGACAGCTTCTGCATATTGAGTGTTCACTACATGCAAGGATCATTCCAGAGGCTTTATGTATGTTAACTCATTTAATATTCATATTCTTGCTAGAAGATAAGTACTGGTCACGATATCTTTTTATGAATGAGGAAACTGAGCCACAAAGAATTAATTCTAAAAAGAATGAAATTTGCCCAAGTCACACAAGTGTTGTAGAACCAGAATTCAAATTTAGGCCATTTGCCTTCAGAGCTTATACCCTTTACCACTATAATTTACAGACTCTGAGGAAAGTGAACACATATGAGGCTGATTGGCAGCGAAAGAAACTAAGAAAAGGAGAGACCGGGATGCATCCTAATGGATATTAAAGCAACACTGTGTTAAATTCCATCTCTGTTGACAAGGACTTGCTCACACGCTGATGATGGTGTCAACTGCTTAATGGAAAAATTGCAAAGGGCCTTGGAATGTGATCATCATGTTACAGAAGGTACCACACAGAAGTAATTATAATAAAGCCAACTCCCTCTCACAGGTACCAAACCTGAACTGATGCTGTCTATGCCCAAGTGGTACCACTGACCAATTTCCCTATTTCTGCCAAAGCTATGTCAGCTTGGAGGCAACTTAGTTCCTTTATTATTGATATCCTATCATGCTTTCTCAATCCTCTCTGGAATATTCTATTTTCACTGAGCCCAGTGTACCTCTTGTACTTCACTTGGATTTTGCAATAATGCCTCACAGGTCACCTTGCCTCTTGCCTCTCCCTTCCAGGCTGAACCAAATGCCAGGAGAATCTTTCAGAGTGTCCTGGAACACTGGAAATAGCCTTAAAGCTTAAATGATGAATCAGAAGAGTTATGCTCTATTCTAGTGCTGCCACTAGGTAAGTGACACTGGGAGTCATTTCAACCCTCTAGATCTTTAGATTCTACAAATACAAAAGGAGGAGTTGACACTGATGCTCTCTAAGGTCCTTCTAGTGTTTTAAGTATATGAATGTACGAATGAATGAATTCCTTGCTTGTATACCTGCCTATGATTTCTGTTTCAAACTTTAAACCTGGTGCTCAATATAAAAGTTTTCTCACACCATTTTACAAGATAGCCATTCCTCCTCTGTCATGTCTTATTCATTTCTAAACCCCAGCTTCTCTTTCTGCTACTCATGCTTCCTAAAAAGTCCAATTCCATCCTCTTCACAGCCAAAACCTTAGGCCATCATTAAGGTTCTGCACCAGAACCATGTCTTCCACTGACAGCTTTCCTGAGTGACTCCAGGCTGCACCACTGTAATTCTTCAGAAAGTATATACACATGGTAGCCAAAGAGCCTGGGCCCTGGAACCAGACTGCCTGGAGTCAAATCCTAGCTCTGCTACTTACGAGCTGCTGGTTAGTTAACCTTTCTATGCCTCAGTTTCACCCTGTGCAAAATGGATTGTAAGAGTGGCTACTTGGCAAGATTGTTGTGAAGTTTAATATATGTGTTAATATATGTAAAACACATGGAAGAGCTCCAGGTACATAGTAAGTGCTCTGTAAATATCATCTATTATTATTATTGCAACCACACTTCACATATTTTAAATAAATCTTAAGAATTAAATTGTTTCGTGCATGTAGATAATGTCTCCTCAAGTAAACAGCGAGGATCTTCACTATTTTCTATGGTTTCATGTCCTGGCAAGGGAATTCAAAGCATCACAGCAGCTATTCCTAAACAAACAAACCTATTCTAAACAAACACCTGAAGACAGTAAGGGAGGCCTTACCTGGTGCACTGCAACTTTAAGTCATTTTAGTTCGGCAAATAAAGAGAATTATGACACAAACAGACATAATAAAGACCTTGCAGCTGCAGCCACTGGCTTCTCCTTAATGTCTTGGTTTCTTTCTGACTCTTTACAGCTGAATTCTAAGAGTTGGGAATGAGAATTTCTAATGGATTTACTGACACTACTTTATATAATTCAGTACATAATAAAATGAAAATCTCTTGAAAATGCATATGAGTGCCATCATGTTGAGGCAGTTATTGCAGGAAAGGGGAGAAAGTAAAAACTATGTGTGGAATAAAATGATAAAATATTCTTATTTCATCATCTTACCTTTTGACTCCTTTATATTGTGAGTTCCAAATATGGTCAAGATGAAATGTGTTTATTTTGCCTTGAACTTTCTCACTAATGTACCAAAGGGGCATTTCATGAAAGCTAAGCAGTATGAATTTCCAATAAAGCAACCAAGCTCCCTTAAGAAGTGCTCTGGAAGGAAAATTTCTCATTGTTTTGTTGTACTTCTCACCACCAAGTCAAACCAACTGCCAATGCCAAGTTGGACGGGAAGGGTGTCATGACATCAAATATTACATTCCACTGGTAGTGAGATGACCATTATGTTTCTCAGAGCAAGCATGGCTTCATAAGCCAGTTCCTGTTTGCAAGTTGATCTCACCGGTGATCCAGACAAATGCATACTGCAGCAGCAGTGTGGGCTAGTGGGAAGGCTGGTAGCTTCCTAATGATTCTGCATAGCCTTTGGACACCATGGTGGGTCTGGAGCCATAAAATGGTGTGGTTACAATGCCGGAGGTGAAAATACAGCAAAACTCCAAAGTAATGTGGACTAAAGCTGAGTGTGCAATTATGTTCTTGAGTGATGATCTCAAGGAAGATAATATCATCCAATATCTTTCCTCATTAAGTGGGATGATGGACTATCCTGACAGACAAGTCATTGCTCTCATCCTGATCTCTACTGAATTAGGACACATCTCAGAAACAAAGCAAAAAAATTCTCCTTCTGCCCTTCCCCACATAAAGAAACAAAACAGAAACAAACTCTAGTGGCTCTTTCTCTAGAACACTAGGGAGCATGACAACCTATTAGAAAATAGCATAGACTTCCACTTTAGTCGGTATGGATGATGTCTTCACAAATATTTATTGAGCCCTATGCTAGGAGCTTGGGCTAGAGAAATAAATAAGACACGTCCTATTCTAAAGGAGCTTACAGTCTACTAAGATAAAAGATAAGCCCTTTTTGTCTCAAAATGGAACATGCATGGACAGCTGGGATTTAATATTCACAACAGAGGATTTTTTTCAAAGTCTTTCACCTATTGTGGTTCCCTTATGATGATTTGCTACTCTTTGGGGATGACACTATTTTCACCCTATATATAGCTGTCTGATTCAAGCTCCATAGATTTAATAGGGGTAGGGGAAGCATTTCCAGGTTAGAATAAAACATAAAGTTCTTTTGCTCAACTCAGCTTTTCACCAGCACTGCTTAGACACTGAATCCTGGAAACATGGTAGAATGTGATGCCAAGAATTCGGCAAGGATCTGGAGAAAATCAACTGAGCTTTAACTTAGCATTTTACTGCCTCTTCACAAAATGAACCAAGAATAGATAAAGACATATAAACTTAGTGATTTATAGTTTTCAAAATATTTTCTATGTTTCTCCATCATGTATTTGTTTTGCTTTAAGTCTTTTGAATTGGTACTTGACTGATAAGGATAAGCACTGTAAATGCCTCCAAAAGATAAGAATTTCTTCTAGCTTGGGAAGAAAGAGAAGGAGAATGATTATAAAACTTCTTGGAGAGCACTCACTTTGTTTAATTTTCCCTCTAGATTGTTAGAAACTTGAGAGTGGGGAACTGCCTTACTCATCTTGGTCACTTCTGAATCTACCTCAAGTGCTCCAGAAATGTTTGTTGAATGAATGTATGAATGAGGCATGGATGAATGTCTAGGTCTTGAAGGAGAGGAGGTAGTGGATAAAGAAAGATGGGGGAGAGACTGAGGATGAGATAGAAGCATTTGTACAGTGTGGGAAGTGTGGGCAGATGCATGTGTGGGGAATGGGGGCAGATTACATGATATTAGTATAGTTGAACGGAAACGCATCTTGGCAGAGGAGGCTGCAGAAAGACTCTGGGGCCACATTGGTGAATATATCTGCTTTCTATGGCACCGTGGCGGCCAGTCTATCATTTCCACATCTTTTCTCTTTTATTTAATTTTTTAAGGCCATACTAGCTCAAGCTCTAGTAATGGGTCTTCATTTAGTTCCTATATTAATTTATGGATATAAAGAAGCCTGCATTTTTGGGCTACCATGTAAAGTTGAGCAGGCTGTACACTGCACAATTCACAGGAACAGTTATAGATCTAGTACAGTGCATGACAGCACTGTGCTCCCTCATTCTCCCTATATTTGTAATGAAATACATTTACAAATTGATAAATTGCTGGAAGTGCAACACATTGAGAAATACTTTTAACTATCTTTCCTCTTTACCCATTATATAGTCCTGAAGAACCCCTGATTCTTTCATTTTCCTCAGTCTGTGAGGGTTATATTACAGAAAAAATTGTGTTGCTTTTTTGTGATGCTTCCACATTCTAACTCTCAAAAATCAAAGGGTGTCTATTTTGAACCATTCTATATTGGGTAGGGTTCTGATGTTGCAGTTCTTGGGTTCAAATTCTGGCTCTATCACTTAATGTGTGATCTTGTGCAAACTATTTAACTTCTCTGTGCCTCATTTTCCTTAGTTGTAAAGTGGGAATCATAAGAGCTCCTACCCTATAGGGTTAATGTAAGAAATAATTGAGATAATCTATGTAAAGCACTTAGCACAGTGACATAGGGAGTGCTCATAGGTGTTTGTAATTATGCTACTAAATTATTATTGCTGATACTGGACTTCCAGGTTGAGCCTGCTGGGCAGAATTCCTCCTGTGCCCCTACAGCTGGGACAGCCCATCCAGAGTCTGTCCATTTCCAATAAGCAGGGCAGGTGTCCACATTCCTCCCAGGTTGTTCATTCCACAAGAGTTAACCAGATAATCCCCAGCTATGGGTTGACAGATCACAAAAATACACACACACATGGTGCACACAACTTCCCCTTTGCTTCAGAAACTTCTAACAACAATGCCACAAAATCAGGATGTTGTTAGGGCTTCCCTCCCTGTCTCTTTCTCCAGTCTAGTCCATTCAAATGTCATTGTTGGGTTTGAGAGGGAAATGGGGGATATGTGAGTCCCGAGAACATTTCATGGGTAACAGTGGAGCTCTGGCAGATAACAATGGTTTTTGGTAAAGGACGAGCCCAAGAAAGAGAGAGAAGACGGTTTTGTTGTTTTTAGTGGTGGTGAGTGTGTGCATGTGTCAGATTGTAAATGGGGCAGAGAATATGTCGGATCTGGAGAGGGACATGGAAATCAAAGATCAAGTTGCAAGGGGAGAGGGGTCTAGGGTCAGGTGAACAGTGAGAGAGGAGGAATACACTGGCAAGTTGAAAAGCAGGATTCAACAATGAGCAAGGACCAGAGAATCATAGCATGTCTTCTCTCACTGAATCATTTACTCATTCATTTGACAAATTGTTCTTGAGCATTGACTATGTGCTGGAGTGTGTTAAATGCAGGGTATTCAACAAAGAACCAGACAGAATCCCTACTTTCATGGAGCTATCATCTAAAGGAAACAAATAAACACATTATTGGTGAGAAGTTATATCCTAGAAGTAAGTGCAAGGCATTATGGATATGAGGGGGTGTCATTGGTCTGATCAATTTTCTTGGAGAAAATTTGGTGCTTTCAGGAACAGCCAACAGCCATGGGATTGGCACAGCTGGGGTAGACTGTGGGAGTGAAGTGAGGTGAGGATAGAGAGGTAAACAGGAGCAATATTATAAAAACGATCTTAGGATCAAAGGTTAAAGAAATTGTTCTTTATTGTGAGGGCACTCTGCAATGTAAAACTTAAATATTAGTTATATCTAAAGGCTTGGAATCCAGGGAGGGAAATTGGGTGGTTGTTTCCTTGAATATATTTTATATAATATGAAAACTCAACTGAGG